GGTGTATTTCTATAGCGCACCTTTCACAAAGTGCTCAGATGCGCTTTACAATTCAATAAAATTATAAAATGCAGATAGACAATATGATAAAAACTAATTGGAATAATAAAAAACAGTAAATTGGAATAATAAAAAACCCCAATAAATTGGCACACATTAAAAGTATCACAATAATAATAGCGTAAAAGAAATGAAATGAAGTTATAAAGTCAGTAGTAAAGTTCAATAAAATGCTTTAGTAAATAAAATAGTTTTTAGATTAGATTTAAAAGTCTGAAGTGATTCATAGCTTCTGACTGTTAATGGTAATTTATTCCAAAGTTTAGGAGCTTTAATAGCGAACGACTTTTCTCCCGCTGATGACTTAACGTTAGATTCACAAAGTAACCAGTTATCAGATCGTACGGGATCGTTACAGGGTCGGAATACTCAATTTTCCCAAAACCGGAAGTATTATTATAATGTAGCTTCGAACCCTCAGAACGTTATTCCCTTTAAAAATGGTAAACCTTTCTGTACATTCAAAATTTTATTACATTAATTTTTATTTCATTTAACATGCGTAGTCATTTTGAATAGGTCAAGTCTGTCGTTAATTTATCTTCTTCGTCATCTTCAGTTAATTTATCTTCTTCATCATCTTCAGTTAATTTATCTTCTTCATCGTCTTTGGTTGATCGCACACTTGTCTTTGGTGTCACGTGTTCATTGATAATCAACATATCCTTTCCATAAATATAACCCAAACCCGAACGTCAATATTATCAGCAACAGGTAAATTTCAACATTAGTAATTTCCGCCGTTCGCCGTGGGTAGTCGGAACTTTCCGTCAATAAGCAATCCGTGACGTCATTTTAGTCCCTTTACACATAGAAATATAGACTAGAATATGAGCAGAAGGACTGAAATGACGCCACAGATTGTTTATTTACGGAAAGTTACGACTACCCACGGATAATAGCGGAAATTACTAACGTTGAAATTTACCTGTTGCAGGTAATATTGACATTCGGGTTCGTGTTATACTTATGGAAAGGATTTGTTGACATAATTACTTGCATTATTTAAAAAATTTATGAACCTTTCCCGGTGACCTTTAAATCTTATTTCTTCATTTGTTGTCGTATTGCGACATTTGTACACTAAAATTAACATTTGTGTCTTAAAATCATTATTTGTTTTACAAATTAGACATTTGTCATATCAGATTTGTAAAATATATTTTGTTTAATTTAATTATATTTTAATATAATGACAAAATTTATTTTAGTAAATCAAAAAAATAATCTACATTTACATTTCATCATAGACATACAACGGAAAACAAATCTCGAACAACAAATTTCTAAATACAAATCTCCAAATACAAATCTTGCAAAACATTTCTCCAAAAACATTTCTTCAATAACATTTCTCCAAAAACATTTCTCGAAATTCATCGAACCGGATCATTATGACGACATAGTGGAAATCAACCTGTCATACAATAAGTCACCATACAGGAGAATCGAGCAAACATTATTTACAATAATAAATATCGCCCGATGACCGTGACTTTAGGGAAATCTGAAATTAATTTTTATTTCATTTAACATGCGTAGTCATTTTGAATAGGTCAAGTCTGTCGTTAATTTATCTTCTTCGTCATCTTCAGTTAATTTATCTTCTTCATCATCTTCAGTTAATTTATCTTCTTCATCGTCTTTGGTTGATCGCACACTTGTCTTTGGTGTCACGTGTTCATTGATAATCTGTCGTTCTATGACCAGGTCGTCGTCCCGCGGTTCGGATAGATCCATAGGGTGAACAAACTTAGGTATTCAGGTTCAATCGACATGCGCAACGAATGTTTCCAACAAGTGCTAGGAATATTTTTACGACTGTGAATAATTCGTGGCAAAATACGTGGGTATTCTTGAGTATTTGTCACAACTATGTTACAAGAGATTAAAGAATTATCAAAGTAATCAACAAAGACCTATGCGAGCGAGTTTTAATCTCACCGATAGTTGCTTGTTAATCTTTTGTAGCTTCACACCCACCGATTGCAGGCCGGATTATACAGTGTTGATTCAATGGAAATCATGTGACGGGACTGCTGATGGATGCCGTAATTCGCAATATCCAGAGTACGGATTACTCAAAGTTTTTTGGGCTGAAATAATAAGGAAATAAACCGGAAAATGGTGTCGGATTTCACAGAGTGTCGGAGTATTCAGAAGATGTGACAAAGTCCACTGTAATAGGTAGCAAAGTGGAGGTTAAATAATATTGGTGTTATATGATTAAATTTTGATGATACAGTTATAAGGCGGGCAGCAGAGTTTTGGAGTTTTTGAAGTCAGAAGATGTGGTCTCGACTTTCATTTGTATGCCCATGATACTCAATTGATATCAAATAACTTTCTAAAATTGAATAATGATAATAATTAGGCGCAAGGCATAAATTAAGTAAATTTGCACGTGATACCCCCCCCCTCCCCCGTTGTAATTGTGATACATGTTCATCTTATTCTGCTCGTAATATTGGCGCAATCGTTGATAGCTTTATGCATATGGGAACTCAAGTAAATAATATTTGTAAATATTTGTAAATTGTGCTATTTTAATATCAGAAATATAGGTAAAATACGCAAATTTGTAACTGTAGAGGCCACTAAGTCACTTGTTAATTCTCTGGTAACTTCTCGATTAGATAACTTTAATTCACTTGGTTTACCTTTAAAGCTTATAGATAATTTACAAAATGTACAGAATACTGCAGCTATACTTGTTACTGTAACTAAGAAATGCGACCAAATAACTCCTGTTTTATATAATTTACACTGGTTACCTGTTAAATATGGAATGGATTTTAAGATTTTATTTACTTACTTTTGAATGTTTAAATAACTTAGCTCCTGTTTACCTCTGAAATCTATTAGAACTTTATACACCTGGTCCAACATTACATACATCAGAAAAACTACTTTTAAAACACAAAAACTGTTCAACTAGTCTGTTATGGTCAGTTTGGGGATCAAGTGGCTAAGTGGGTAAGACGCTGGCTCGCTAGGGTGTTCGATCCCTGCATTGGCCGAGAAAGTTCATCCAGATTTTCCGGCGTGGTTCCCCCTTGTCAGTTATGTAGGACGGAGGGCCTGACAAGGATAGCTGTCTATTCGTTCGGATGGTACGAAAACCGAGGTCCCGTGTACACATTGGCGTGCACGTAAAAGATCCCTTGACAGTTGGAATTCGATATAAGAGTAGGCCGTAGTGCCGCTGTCCGGGCAAAATTGCCCTCATAGCACACTGTATGGCGTTTGCCCGTCTTCATTAGCCCAGTTCGGAGCAGAACAGTAGGACGTTAAACCCCATTTCATTTCATTTCATTGCATATCGTTATGGTCAGCGCTCTTTTAGTTATCAAGCATCTGTTTTATGGAATAATCTACCGTTTAATTTAAGATATTGTACATCGCTATATTCTTTTCAAAAACAACTTAAAACACATTTATTTAATCAGGCTTTTAATTGACTCTATACAACTGTTAACATGTCCATAATCTTGTAGTTTATATATGATTACATTGTCATTTGTAACCTCGGTAGGGTTGTCTATACATAAAGCTGTCATCATCTGATGTCGCGATTTAGTTTTATTTAAGATACATTAAAATCTATCTAAACTCTCACACTATCTTGCATGAAACAAACAGTCATTGGGGTTCAAGTTAGTGAAAATCTTCTCACTGATTAACGCAGTGAACATGTTATATGAAAGGGCGCACAAAAGATATGCTGTACCGCCCGGCGTGGTTTCCCCTTGTCAGTGATGCAGGACGGAGGGCTTGACAAGGACAGCTGTCTAGTCGTTCGGATGGGACGAAAAACCGAGGTCCCGTGTACACATTGGCGTGCACGTAAAAGATCCCTTGGCAGTTGGAATTCGATATAAGAGTAGGCCGTAGCGCCGCTGCCTGGGCAAAATTTCCCCCATAGCACACTGTATGGCGTATGTCCGTCTTCATTAGCCCAGTTTAGGAGCAAGACAGTGGGACGTTAAACCCCCTTTCATTTCATTTCAAATATGCTGTAATAATTATATTGATCGACAGACTTCGATTTGTAAAATTCCAAGATGGCTGTTATGACGTAATGATACTCGTTTCCAGTCCATATAGTGCTATTGTGCGTGTTTCTATATCAATATCCTAAATTTTATACACCCACCCTCTTTATAATTATATATGTATAAATATATTTTATATTGTTTACTTCAAAGTAGTTTTCAATCCCTCATTATTATCTGTTCAGTTATATAATAAGATTGGTAAATATCCATATAATGATAGGTAATAATACTCATTATTATCTGTTAATTTATAAATATCCCTTTCATGGAGACGTTTACATCAGCAGTCTATTCATTATCATCTCGGGGGATCACGTGGCTAAGTGGGTAAGACGCTGGCTCGCTAGCCTGGCGGTCGGGTGTTCGATCCCTGCATTGGCCGAGAAAGTTCATCCTGATTTTCCGGCGTGGTTCCCCCTTGTCAGTGATGCAGGACGGAGGACTGAGGGCCTGACAAGGACAGCTGTCTAGTCTTTCGAATGATACGAAAAACCGAGGTCCCGTGTATACATTGGAATGCACGTAAAAAATCCCTTGGCAGTTGGAATTCGATATAAGAGTAGGCGTTAGGTCCGCTGCCCGGGCAAAATTTCCCTCATAGCACACTGTATGGCGTATGCCCGTCTTCATTAGCCCAGTATAGGAGCAGAACAGTAGGACGTCAAACCCCATTTCATTTCATTATCATCTCTCTTTAATTAATCTTCATCCTTTTTTTTTTTGAAAATAAAAGTTGGCATTATTTGTTTTCGTCGTATGAAAACCCTGGATACGCCCTTCCCAACTCCCATGGAAAGAACTAAGTAGTATTCCGTTGGTTCTAAAAAAAATCAATAAGGGCAATAGTTTAAGGCTCCACGCTATAGTCTATAGCCTTGACAACCAACACGCGCGTAAACATCTATCGTGTCATGCAAGCTATAGGTAAAGAGGATACAGGTAAAGATGACACGATCATATGTAAGTATTTAATGGTATTTGTGGGGTGGCGGGGAGACTATGCATAGGATAAGAGGTAAAATAATCAGCATTTATTACCGTTCATTACGTTTCAATATTTTATTTGGGGTATCGTATTCACTGCATTTGCACTAACTTGAACCCCAATGACTGTTTGTTTCATGTAGATAGCGTGAGAGTTTAGACAGATTTTAACGTATGTTATATCTTGAATAGAGCTAAATCGCGACATAAAACGATAAATCTGCGACCCTAGAACCCCTATGACTGATGTATATTTCTTTTACATCTGGGCTGTATCTTATTGTCGTTTTATTCATCGAAAGACGGCCAAATAAACATATTGATTAAACAGGACTGCGTTCCCATAGTGAAGTTGCGATAATGGTGGATAAACATCTGTATTGACATTCTGCTGCTATTTTACGGTCAATATTTTACGAGGTTGTTAAGGGCTTAATATTGAAGCACGATTTTATGAAGGACTCACCAGTTCTTTTTTCAGTGTTCTTAATTCTTAGTTCTTAATTCATAGTCCTTAAAGGTCACCAGAAAAGCATCAATTTTCTTTTTAAATAATGCAAGTAATTATGTCAACATATCCTTTCCATAAATATAACCCAAACCCGAACGTCAATATTATCAGCAACAGGTAAATTTCAACATTAGTAATTTCCGCCGTTCTCCGTGGGTAGTCGGAACTTTCCGTCAATAATCAATCCGTGACGTCATTTTAGTCCCTTTACACATAGAAATATAGACTAGAATATGAGCAGAAGGACTGAAATGACGCCACAGATTGTTTATTTACGGAAAGTTACGACTACCCACGGATAATAGCGGAAATTACTAACGTTGAAATTTACCTGTTGCAGGTAATATTGACATTCGGGTTCGTGTTATACTTATGGAAAGGATTTGTTGACATAATTACTTGCATTATTTAAAAAATTTATGAACCTTTCCCGGTGACCTTTAAATCTTATTTCTTCATTTGTTGTCGTATTGCGACATTTGTACACTAAAATTAACATTTGTGTCTTAAAATCATTATTTGTTTTACAAATTAGACATTTGTCATATCAGATTTGTAAAATATATTTTGTTTAATTTAATTATATTTTAATATAATGACAAAATTTATTTTAGTAAATCAAAAAAATAATCTACATTTACATTTCATCATAGACATACAACGGAAAACAAATCTCGAACAACAAATTTCTAAATACAAATCTCCAAATACAAATCTTGCAAAACATTTCTCCAAAAACATTTCTTCAATAACATTTCTCCAAAAACATTTCTCGAAATTCATCGAACCGGATCATTATGACGACATAGTGGAAATCAAATTGTCATACAATAAGTCACCATACAGGAGAATCGAGCAAACATTATTTACAATAATAAATATCGCCCGATGACCGTGACTTTAGGGAAATCTGAAATGTATATATATACACAAAAAAATAAATAAAATATGGATGGAAGAACTACATTTGTATATATTTGTAAGTACTTTCGCTAATGCTCTTCAGGCTAAATATACAATGGTAAAAAGATAACTAGATACAGAACACAATAATGATTATGACGTCATAGTTACAGAGTATTGTTCAGAAGGGGCATAACTGAAAGTCAGTGAAGTTATGACGAATATCTTATAAAAGATTAAGATTATCGATAGTCTAGCTGAAACAACCAAGGAATCTTGCTAGATTATATTAACATCCTCAAAATTTGATAGCATTCAAAAGAAACCAGTGGTAACGCAATAAGGGGAGAAAAGATGCAAAACTTGCAAAATATTAATCAAGGGATCCTCCATCCAGATTACAGTTGACAAACTCTTCCACATCCAACAATCTATGAATTGCGAAACCAGATATGTAATCTATATGATTGTTTGCACTGGTTGTAATGGATGGTATATCGGGAAAACAATTATTATGCCAAGAACAAGGATGAACCTCCATCGTAAACATGTCCTGAATCCACAATATAGGATGATCCCACTAAGTGGCCATTTAGATGTTTGCGGTGGACGAGAGTTTAAAGGTTTCCCGTTATATAAATAAAATAGCAATAACAGCAATTAACTAGAGGTCAGAGAATCATATTTTATTTAAAAGTATCGACCAGAGTTAAATGCAAAATTGTGAAGTGTTATATTGTATTATCATTGTAGTCTGAGTTATAATTTCAGTTATGCCCCTTCTGAACAATACTCTGTAACTATGACGCTATGACGTCATAATCATTATTGTGTTATCTTTATCTTTTAACCATTGTATATTTGTCTGAAGAGCATTAGCTGTCTAGGAACTGAGATGGCAATCTCTCCGGAATCTAATGAAATCTGGCTTGAAAGTTTGCCATGATTTCTTTTATAGGACCTATGGACATCACGCACAGGCTAGGATATCCATGACCCCGAACCTGTGCAATTACTGATATGATTGGTCATTTAAACCAAATGATGCAATAGGTAAATTTCCAATCACGTGTAATCTGGTAACACACAGAACCAGCTATGTTTTGGTTCTATAACTTTTTTTATATACCCATCTGTCACTCATATTTTAGTGCACATTTAGTACAATTAATTAATACAATATAATGCCATCATTAATTATAAGAGCAAAAATTCTAGCAAAAGTCTTACAAGGGGCATACAATAAGTTTTGAATAATTTATATTTAACTCTAAATGAGGAGAATGTAAAATTTCTTAATGTTACATTACTTTTAACAGTAAAATTATTTATACATTGACATAAATGTTCATGTTCTGACGGAACTATGAAGCAGATTTCCTAAATGGGATTCAGAAGTTTGATAGGAGGCAGTTTATAAGAATGGGTTTAAGATCCCGAGTTCCAGTTTCAGATGGTTTGCATGGAAAATATACGAGTCTGCTCTTGTCGGGATTAAAAGTGAGGTTATATTCTTCAGAATATTAACTTGCTATGCGCAATAAACCATTGAGAGTTTATACTAATTACTTGCGGCGACTACTGTGAGGTCACTGACATATACGTTCCCAATATGGCAGCCAAAATTACTTTGTCTGCACCTTCTCAGAAGTTCATCGATATCGAGGCAGACCACCATTAAATTTCATCATCTCGAATTGTAGTTCGTCTATTTATAGCAATTCTCTCTCTCTCTCTCTCTCTCTCTCTCTCTCTCTTTTCTCCCCTTTTGTATGCCCATTTTTGTTGATTTTTTGGTCTAGAATGGACGAAGAGGGTTTGAATTAACATTTTCTGCCAGGTTGTGGTAAATATTCATGATTTTGAGGCGGAAGGATAAGAGGGTTATCAGGTTAGCTACGGCGATATGTACGGCAACTAGCTACATGTTTTTAGTATGCTTCTTCAAGTTTGTGTATCTCAAAATTTTGGTGGTCAACCTCATACAAATTTTAGTGCAAAGACATGACCATTTGTTCCTCTGTCTGTAGTGAAAAGCATTCAGCCCAACGAAAATTTGGGGAAAGTTGGAGGTGGGCAAAGAGGCCAGAATTAACATTGAAGTCAATGGGGAAATTAATGGTGGTCTCCATCCATATAGACGGTAAATAATACTGGAGAGATTACTCCCCCTTGTTTAACACCATTAGTTACATTAAAAGAGTTGCTAACTGTTTGGCACCATCTTACTCGTATCCTCTGGTTGAGGTATAAAGAAAGTAGAAAACTTGAAAATAAAGGACACAGACATTTAGAACGTAACAGTTGGAAGAATTTTTTTACGTTGTTTACCTTATCAAAAACTTTGCTTGCGTCTAGTAAACTAACATACACACTAGAGTTGAGACTATTGTAATAATTAATGGATCATTTAGTACAAAAGAGAAATGACCAAATTGTTGTTCAGAATCAGAACATTGAAACACGTGATTTAACTTATCTAATATAACATTTTACCGAAAATACTGCTCAATGCAATTCCACGATAGTTGCTGGGATCGTTGAGAGGGCGTTTCCTATTTTTTCGAATTGAGACAATAATTGAGAGGAGAGAGAGAGAGAGAGAGAGGGAGAGAGAGAGAGAGAAATGGGGGTTAACGTCCACTCGACACAAACTAGGTCATTTCGGGACTAACATATGGTTTTAATTTTATTTCAATAATTCGCTTGTGCGTAGGGATCTTTAGCAGTGAGAGGAAACCGGAGGACCCGGAGAAAACCCACGAGGTTGGACAGGCCACCCTATTCCTTGTCACGTACAACCGGGGATAATTGAGATGATAAGATTGTTAGTTGAAATGCCATGAACGACAAGAGCTGTCAGTAGCAATGATACATGAATAAAGTAAGAATATGGAGCATAAATAATATGATCAGAATATTGACCACTACAACCATCAGATTTCTTATGTTTGAGAGATTTTACGGCTTTTGAAACATTGTTTGCTGTGATATTATGATCATGTTTACATTTACCACTATTACACACATGATTGATACTAAACTCAATGTCTTCCTTTAATTTAATCAAATCATGTTCATTGAACGATACACTATTAAAACGTTGCTTATATACTATTCAAAAAAAGTAGGGGATATTTGATTTTGGGGGCATAATACTAAAATATGCAAATGACTACGAAAAAAGTCACTATAGAACCTAACAGAAGAAACATTTCCAGTTACATGTGACGCCCAAACGCACCAATAGCTACCGCATGGAATGCAGGTGATGCTTGGGATCATCATGGGGGTCCAACCCAAGATTTGCACGACTCTGACTTTGAATGTTACAGTCATTGTGGCATTGAATTCCAGGGTGGAAACATCAGTTTAATTGTTTTAGTGACCAGAAAACAAATTTTGATATGCGTCGGCTTACCCAAAATGAAAGGTTACGTGCCCTTGGCATGCTACAGATCGGCACAACACAGGCGGTTGTGGCGCGGACGGTGAATGTTTCTCAGTCTGTCATAAGCAGGCTATGGTCCAGATACCGTGATACACAATCTGTACAGGACAGACCACACTCAGGTCGACCAAGGGCGACAACTCAAGCCCAGGATCGATTTATCCGTACCTTGGCCTTGAGAAATCGTGCCATCACAGCAAATCAGATCAGCGTGAGTGGCCAGACGATTCGGAATCGACTGCATAGGGGTCACCTTCGCGCCCGACGTCCTCGCGTGATCCCTTGTTTGAGAGATCATCACATTCAGGCAAGACGTCGTTGGTGTAGGGATCGTCAACACTGGGATAATCGACGCTGGAGCAATGTGATGTTTTCAGATGAGTCAAGGTTCACTGTTGATTTTTTGGACAGACGTAGGAGGGTGTGGCGTCGTCGAAACGAGCGCTTCCAAGACGTTAACGTCATCAGACATGATCGATTTGGGGGTGGTTCTGTTATGGTGTGGGGAGGCATCACTGTTGCTGGAAGAACGGCTTTACATGTTGTTGCAGGGCGTGTTACAGGCCAGTACTACCGGGACAACACCTTGGCAGTCCATGTTGTGCCGTTCGCACGACGTCATGGCCGCCGTTTCATCTTCCAGGATGACAACGCAAGATGTCACAGGGCCAGGTACGTTACAGGTTACCTCCAACAACAGAACATCACCACATTACCTTGGCCAGCACTGAGTCCCGACCTCTCCCCCATCGAGCATGTCTGGGACATGCTTGGACAGAGGTTACGTCAACGTCAACAACGTCCTGCCAATGTCCAAGAACTTGCTGCTGCGTTGCAACAGGAATGGGACAATCTGGACCAAAATGACCTTAGACGTCTCATTAGGAGTATGCCACGTCGGATCAATGCTTGTTTGGCAAACAGAGGAGGATTTACCCGTTACTGACTTGGTTGTGATGCTGTGGTAACTTTGCTGTTTGACCCCGGGTATCATTTTACCCTTATAATGGTCAGTCTGTGCCTTACTTAGTCTAACGATCATTTGGAATAAATCGATGAATGTGAACTTCATTTCATTTTGTCATTTGTTTCTTCGTCAGTTTCATTAGGTGACTTTAATAACACTTAAAAATCAAATATCCCCTACTTTTTTTGAATAGTATATTTACAGCTATATACTAAGGCTATAATTATCGGCTCCTATCTGCCCATTGACACTTTGTGGAAGCGAGTTACTGGGCCCATTATTCCTCTTAATTTCTCCAACCTCGTGGGTTTTCTCCGGGTCCTCCGGTTTCCTCCCACTGCTAAAGACCCCTACGCGCAAGCGAATTAATGAAATAAAATTGAACCATGTGTTAGTCCCGAAATGTCCTAGTTTGTGTCGAGTGGACGTTAAACCCCATTTCTCTCTCTCTCCTCTTAATTTCGCCCCAAAAGTCTTGCTATTGATAAGATTTTTAGCCATTTTGTTCGAACGGGTTGATTCTCTTGTTTTCGAACTAGTCGCGTTTATTAAGTCACCAACGAAAAATTTGACCCGAAATTCAGTGTTCGTGTCCAGATAAGCGGTTTTGACGTTCACGTCCAAATAACACAATATTTTGAACTTAAATTTTCAGACAAGATTTATATGTAAATCCTCTATCTTTCGGAGTTTAAATATTATACGTACACGGATTTGTATTTCTCAGGTTCAGTGAAAATCGGGATTTTCCCTTTTATTTTCTAATCATTCATATACAGTGAAATACGTGAGCAGTGTAAATTGCATGATAGTCGTTTTCGCCTAGTTAGTCTATACAATCTACAAGGCTATATAGCGCTAATCCCAACCCTGACCCTGGACCTAACTCTAAAGCTTACCTTAACCTACAATCTCACCAACAATCACGTGCCCTAACCTTATTTAATAACTCATATGATCCTTTCGGACCACAATATGCCTTTGTAGTTCAAATTTACTCCCTAACATTCCCCATTGCATTACACATATAATACTATTAATAAACCTGTTTTTATTTCTTTGCAGTTCTGTTCAAGAAAAAATGTGATGGTCTGTGTTTTTATTCTGATCACAATTGTCGCCATTGCTGTATACATACCAAAGCAGGGTGTTTATACATCAAAAGTCAGAGTTTATGACCCACTTATTCAACGATTTCCTACACCCCTTGTTTTGCCTCCATGTCGGTCACAATTACACGTTATTATGTCATTTCCGCTACTCACTAACGATTCCATAAAAACCGGAAGTTACTCACGAGCCACTCCAAAGATGATACAAGAGCGGATGACTGAATTTTTAACTGGTTTGCAGAGGACTTTAAATCATCCATGTGTTCATCGTGTATACTTCCTGTACAATCAGCTTAGCGTTATGGATTATGTAAAAACTCACATCTGGGTCGATTTGGACAAAATGTCGTTTCATTTGGTAGAAAATCCCCGGTCTCATGTCGGTTTATTTAATTTCGCCTACGATCATCTTCAGGGTGAAATAGCGATTTACACCCCGGCGGATGTTTATCTAGGTGAAGGATTTGAGCTGATTAAAAAAGATGTGTTGGCCGCGAACAAGTTGATCTATATTATGTCTCGACATAGCCGACAAGAGAAACATTGCGATATGAGGCGAGACACCACATCTACATCATGCACTGATCAAAAATATTTTGGATCCCATGATACGTATGTCTTCGTGCCCAAAGGGAGGTTTCCAAAAGAAGTCCGAGATTACTTATCAGTACCGTCTCAGGATTATGGCGTGGAAAATATGTCGATCTGGGCTTTCGGTACTCTGGGTAATTTTACAGTGACTAATCCATGCAAAGTTTTGAAAGTCTACCATTTACATTGCACTGGGCTACGTGATGCAACACGGAAACGTCTTAATACTAAAAAGGATACAGGGAAGGTCTGGCCTACGGATCAGTTGGGAATAGTGTAGTACGCGGACGTTAAGCCCCACGATAAATAGTTGTCCGTAGTGATGTGTGGTTATCCGTAAATTTCTGTTGAATTTGTTTTATGACCTGGGTCCATATTGAAAGGAAATCTTAAGTCTAATGTAGTCACTACTAGATTTCAATTAAATATACATAACTTCCTGTAAGTTAAGGGCAAGTGGTGTTCAAAGGCAATGTGAGGTATCAAATTTTCCCTTAAGTTAAGTTACCATAACTATAAGTGTTTAATCGTTTAGTGGTATTCAAAGGCCGCTTTAATTGAGCAAATCATAACGACTCATTCTAGCCGGAGTACACAATGTAGTAGCAGCCCAGTTAAGATGTGAAGCAGTCAAGAGCCAGGATGATCGCGACTACTTTGTTTTTTTCTATTTACTGATACTATCATATTTCATTATTTGTTAGCGTAGGACATTGTCATTTATATATATATTAAACATGTATTATATGTCTTATCATAGAAGTCTATAGTGTTATGTTCTTTCGTAATCATTTGTTTAAATACCTTAATTGTTCGTACCTTTATAACCAAGGTAATTATATAACTGTTAAATTAAACAACGGATAACTCCTACCTCCTAAAGTGATTTATATAATTAGTAAATAATTATTATTATCTAATGATTGGTGTTTTGTGACATATATAGTGTAACCAATATATACATTGTACTTTTATAATCAATGTGATACTGTTTATTAGTCGTGTTTATGTTCTTATGATTTGAATTTCTTCATGCAATATTTGTGAATCGCCAGTAGGAATAAATGTCTCTTATAGATACGTCTAGATGGCTGGAAATTGCACGATAGGCAAGCGTCTGATATTCACAAGCTACGTTTCGATGGCACAGAAGCTCCTTTAAAGCTTCTTTCTCTTTCAGCGAGTACGGCAAACTAGGATTGCCCGAAAAAAGACAAGTTGCGGATTGAAGAAAAGTACGGCGAATGCTATTCGCCCGAAAAAGGACAGACACTGACAGATTCAAGAACAAGTACGGTGAATGCTATTCGCCCGAAAAAGTCAAGACACTTACAAAGTACGGTGAACGCTGTTCACCCGAAAAAGGACAGTAATTAATAGAAATAAACGTATTTAAGCTGTAAATACTGATATAAATATATTTTGAAAGTTTTTTTTGTTACATAAAGGTTTGAAAACTGAACGAGTCTGTTTTATTCCTACGGTGAAGCTTATTATAATTTTAGCAAAACACCGTTACTGACCACTTTTAAGCTGGTCCTTACACACCCTTCCGAAGTTCCGTTTACCGGTGGCTCGTGATCAGCCAGGAATTGATCACTGGTGGCAGAGATACCAAGCTCCCCATACCCCAAACGTGGTTTTCCCTTCAAGGAAACGTTACAGATGAAAGTATGAGGATTAAGACGGAACCAAAAACAATGTCGCCGAGCGTAGCTGCCTCAATTTTCTCTTTCGAAGGCAGATTTGATAATTGATTTTGTAGTGCAAGGATACGTAATATAATTTATAATCATAATATTTCGACTAACATTTCCCTAGCAATGAAAACGAAGTTTAATAGAGACTTGGAGCACTTAAAGGGACATAACTTGCCTTTGAAGTTAGAAATTCTTAGTTTTTGGTAGTGGAGGGTATTCCATAAGTTAGAAATTTATACTTTTTGGCGTTTGCGGGCATTCCATACGTTAAGTGTGCAGTTAAGTTTTTCAAGGATAATACCGATACCGATTTAAGGTAACACACTTAGTACCGTGGAAAAATTAAGTATTTTCAATTATCTTTAAAGGGACAATAACACTCTTGCTGGCTTGAAAGCTCCAGAAAATAAATAACATCTCTATCTAAGTACTAGATGTTTAAGTGTCCTACCTGTTGTGTAAATTATCCATAACATCCTTTTTTACTTGTCCAGAGGGTTCGAAAATATTTTTAAATCGAAGTTTCATTTGAAAAGGTTTACGTTAGACGTTTCAAACAATTATGTTGAATTTTTCAAAATTTTTAAATAAGGTGTGTTAAGATGAAATTTGTATCATCAATTAATTGAAATTTTGTAAAATAGTACAATTTGTTGACCAGAATAAAGATTGGGACATATTATTGAGTTACAACAAGAGTGGTATTGAGCCTTTAAGAAAACCTTTGAATACGGACCCTGTTTTGTATTATAAAGTTTACGTAGTTATCCTTAAATGTTTGCTTAATTTGCCTTCTACACTTGAACCTTTATACTTGTGGTTGTACAAATGTGAATATATTTTAAATATTTTTTATATCGCCACAATGACTTAATTTAACGGTCACCGGAAAAGCTTCATAATTTTTTTTAAATAATGCAATTAATTATGTCAACATATCCCTTTTCATAAGTATAACACGAACCCGAATGTCAATATTACCTGCAACAGGTAAATTTCAACGTTAGTAATTTCCGCCGTTCCCCTTGGGTAGTCGTAACTTTCCGTCAATAAAGCAATCCGTGACGTCAATTTAGTCCTTCATAAAAATATAGACTAGAATATGGGCAGAAGGACTAAAATGACGTTAATTTAATCCTTCATAAAAAGATGACTTCAATTCCTGCTTGTTGGAGTTATCTTCTGATCTAGTGCGATCTTGAGACTTTAAAGGGGATGGATACCCTTATACCACTTGTGGTCGGTTTGGCAAGTTTGGGGGTTCTGTCTTGACTGTTGGTCACTTCTTTGGTGGCTTGGTTAACACAATGTGGGGTAGCTATTAAATTCAGTGAAGACCTTCCGTAAGTGTGTTATTTCTGTACTTAAAAAGTCATCTTGGCAGATCATAGTGGCGCGCTTGGTGAGGGTTGAGACAATAGACTTCTTAATATTTAATGGTTGATTTTATAAACGTTCCAGTTATATGGATACGTATCAAAGTTATTATATAATTGAACAAATAATATTGTTATTATAAACATTTCCATTATATGGAGATGTATAAATCTTATTATATATATATAATTGAAGAAACAATATTGGGTTTTATTAACATTTTCATTAGTTCGATACATTTACCAATCTTATTGTATAATTGAACAAATAGAATTATAAACTTTATCATTGTTTGGATATGTATCAATCTTATTGTATAATTGAAAAAATAATAATGCATTATAAACGTTATCGTTATTTGAATATGTATCAATATTATTATATAATTACAGATAGGGGTTCAAATTATTATGTAAAATTGTATATACTCGTCATTTTTTCATTAATTCTTTAACAGTATTATTTGTTACACTTTATGGCACACTTTATGACCCTCTTTTAATTACTCTTTATTAGTTACATAATTCATGATGATTTTGTTCTGTTTCATTTTATGAGTTCCACATTAATATATCGTTTCATATTCACTGATTATTTTAATACAAGTTGGAAATTAAGGATTTGTCATTAATTAATTGTTGTTTTAAATATGAGTTGCGATTTTCTTGCCTTTGTAGGGTATCCTATCAGTAAACTGTTTTCTCGGGTTTAACACCATATGTGTCTTTGAATGACTTCTGTTCTTTAATAGTTAGTTTATTGTTACATGTTTGCATATAACCTTCTGTAACATGTATGATTGTATCATTGTTTGATAATGGTGAGAGTTAATAAACCTAGTGAATGTGATCCATAAAGCTGTCTGTTATTATGTTTATAAAATTCATTATTATCTGTTCAATTATATACTAAAATTGATAAATCGCCATATAATGGAAACGTTTATGATTGAAATGAAATGAAATCTTTAACGTCCTACGTCCGACTGCCAAGGGTTCTATTGCGTGCACGTCAATGTGTACACAGTACTTACGTTTTTCGTCCCACCCGAACGAATATACATTGTCCCTTGTCAGGCCGTCCGTAAGGGGGAAAATCCCTATGTATTTTCTCGGTCAACACGAACACGCGACCTCATGTTAGAGAGTCAACGTCTTACTCACTGGGGATCACGTGGCTAAGTGGATAAGACGCTGGCTCGCTAGCCTGGAGGTCGGGTGTTCGATCCCTGCATTGGTCGAGAAAGTTCATCCAGATTTTCCGGCGTGGTTCCCCCTTGTCAGTGATGCAGGACGGAGGGCCTGACAAGGACGGCTGCAAAGTCCTTCGAATGAGACGAAAAACCGAGGTCCCGTGTATACATTGGAATGCACGTAAAAGATACCTTGACAGTTGGAATTCGATATTGCCCGGACAAAATTTCCCTCAAAGCACACTGTATGACGTATACCCGTCTTCATTATCATATTAGTGATAACCCAATGTGCTCATGTGGCCACCAAATAGAAAATCCCGAACATTATTTTCTGTACTGTAATAATTATACAGCTATCCGCAATGTAACTATTAATAAACTGCCTTATGACCAGCGATCTATCATTTATTTAATTAAAGGCAACAATGAACTTGGTGATGACGTAAACGAAAATATATTCCAGATAGTTCATGACTATTTAAAACTAACAAAACGTTTTGACACATAGAAAATCACTTTTGCGAACGACTGGAATACGTCTTTAAATAAAAAAATAATCAATAATTACTCTTTAACTTTAACTGTATATCTAATGTAATTTAGTTAGTTGGCGTGTTGGTTAGATCGGCTTGTTACTCATTTATTTATCTTATTAATTTACACTGTTAAATTGGAACTTTCGTCGTCAAGAAACAAGTACATTATCAAAAGTAAATAACATAAAGATATATGAAGCAAATTTATATAAGCTTTTAGCTTGTTTTTGTATCATATCTTTAAAACTGTAAAGTATTATATGATATTTTATGAATAAATATTGTTTAAACTATTAGCCCAGCATAGGAGCAGAACAGTAGGACGTTAAACCCCATTTCATTTCATTTCATTTCTTACTCACTGAGCACTCTCAGCTAATTGGATGTAACCAAACGGATGCTAAACAAATTGGGAGTGCAGGTAAACGATTTCATGAAATTTTGAATTCAATAAAATATTGCACACAATATTAATGTTGAAATATAGTATCGTCACAGTGGGTCTGGCAAAGGACAGATTTTGTCCTGTGTCGTACTTTGTATCACAAAATTGTTTTAAACCGTGGATCGAGTGTATTGGTTAGTCGTAGTATCTAGTTATCTAGCTTTCGACTACTCGAAAGTTGACCATCATCTTCCAAAAATGTACTAAAAAAATGTCCTGTTTTGAAGCAAAACTTACCGGGTAAGGAGACAGACAATTAACTTTCTACAGCTATTTTACCCCCCCCCCCCTCAGATGTATAGACTCTTCACCCAGAACCGTTTATAAATCTGGATATTTCGGTAGACACTGACAAGGGGTGAACTAATTATCTCGTACCGATGTTGCTGATCAGTTTGGTCAATCCAATGTTGTGTTTTATTGTCAACACATTAAGGAAAAGGGGAAAATGAAATTCGCAACCAAGCCTGCGCAATCACCAATCGAAGCAACATATCAGATCACCCCCTATGTCTTGCAAAACGATCGGTTCATGTATTTAAGAGTTATCTCCCCGTTTACGTTCACATTTATGGAATTTTGTTGATGCAATATACATGTAGGACAGGGTTCTTGGCGGAAATTCGTGTCCAAAGGGAATTTTCCAAAACAAGTTCGAGACTACTTATCAGTCCCGTCTCAGGATTTTGGCGTGGAAAATATGTCGATCTGGGCTTTCAATACTCTGGGCAATTTTACAGTGACTAATCCATGCAAAGTTTTGAAAGTCTACCATTTACATTGCACTGGGCTACGTGATGCAACACGGAAACGTCTTAATACCAAAAAGGATACAGGGAAGGTCTGGCTTACGGATCAGTTGGGAATAGTGTAGTACGCGGACGTTAAGCCCCACGATAAATAGTTGTCCGTAGTGATGTGTGGTTATCCGTAAATTTCTGTTGAATTTGTTTTATGACCTGGGTCCATATTGAAAGGAAATCTTAAGTCTAAGGTAGTCACTACTAGATTTCAATTAAATATACATAACTTCCTGTAAGTTAAGGGCAAGTGGTGTTCAAAGGCAATGTTAGGTATCAAATTTCCCCTTAAAGTTAAGTTACCTTAAAGTTAAGTTACCTTAAAGTTACAATTTCATATTTTAAAGTTATATTTTTAAAATAAAGCCCTAAAATAGGTAGTATCTATAAACAGTCCTACTTTGTTAAA